TTGAATTTTTGCATGATGGCGAAGATTTCCCGGAGGTCGTCAGCATGGCTGGAAGATTGCTTGCTCTTGACGATCATGTCGTCAACATAGGCCTCCATGGGGCGCCCTAGGACGGCTTGAATGACCCGGGCCACCATCCGGGTGTAAGTGGCCCCCGAGTTCTTTAGGCCGAAGGCCATCACTAGGTAGCAGAAGATGCCCTCGGGAGTCATGAAGGCAGTTTTTTCGGCGTCCTCCTCGTGCATGAAAATTTGATGGTACCCTCAGAAGGCATCGAGGAAGGACATGATCTCACACCCTGCGGTCTCATCCACCAATTGATCAATGTTTGGTAGAGGGAATGGATCCATAGGGCATGCTTTGTTGAGATCGGTGTAGTCCACGCACATGCGGAAGGTAGGGGGCTTCTGTGCGAGAACTACATTCGCCAGCCATGAGGGATATTTCACCTCTTTGATGTGCTTAATGGAGAGGAGCATGGCGACCTCCTTCTTCACAAATTCCCTTCTCTCGGCGGAGAGGGGTCTTCTTCGTTGTTGCACTGCTTTTACCGAGGGGTCCACCGAGAGGCGGTGGGTGATGACCCTTCGGCTGATTCCCGGCATGTCCTCCGGCCCCCATGCAAAAACAGTGGAGTAGGCGCGGAGGGCGTCGGTGATACCGGTCTTCAAATCTTCAGAGAGCTGGGCTCCAATCTTCACGACTCTCTCCGGCTGGGCCGGATCGAGCGCAAAGTCTTCTACGTCCTCGGCTAGTTCAGCCCTCGGCCTTCTTTCCTCCTGGTCGACGGCTCCGGTGATGGTGTCAACACGGAGTTCCGTCTTGCTTACCTTCTTAGTGACCTGAAGATAGCAGGCACGGGCAATTTTTTGGTTCCCCCGGGAGTAGCCAATGCCTCCCTCGGCGGGAAACTTGAGGCAGAGATGCCTCATGGAGATGATGGCTTCGAGGTCCTCGAGGGCTGGCCGGCCGAGGATGATGTTGTGAGCACAGTCAATGTTGACGACGACGAACTCCACTTCGAGCTGGGCTCTATGGATCCCGTCGCCGAAGATCACCGGGAGGGTTATTACCCCCTCGGAATCAATAGTATCGCCGGTGAAGCCGGCAAGAGGGGTCTTAATGGGCCGAAGAGACCCCCTCTCCAGATGCAGCTCTCTGAAGGTACTGAGGTACATTACATTGACGGAGCTGCCCGTGTCAACGTAAGTTCGGTGAATGATGGTGTCGTTGATCTCTGTCCGAATCACCAAGGCATCCCTGTGAGGAGAAGAAGTAGGAGGGAGATCTGCGTTGGTGAAGGTGATGGGTTCCTCCCTCAATCGCTTCACCGGGGGCATACGAGTGACTTCCCCTACGTAAAGCGATTGTGCCCACTTCTTCCGCTGGCTGGTGGAATCGCCCCCTGTATTGCCACCGGTGATCATGAGGATGTGGCGTTTCTTCTCCTGGTAGTGGGGGTACTCCTCCTCCTCTTCTTCCAAGTTTCCGATCTCCCTCTTCTTGTCGAGGGGGATGGTGTTCGGATTCACCCAGGCACTTACCTTCGTATGGTGCCCTCGGGGAGGTCCCTGATGAGAAGGTCCCTCCTGCCGAGGGCTCTGGACAAACTGGGACAGGTGCCCTGCTTGTATTAATCTCTCGATGGCCGTCTTCAGTTGATGGCAGTCATCGGTCCTGTGCCCCTGGTGTCGATGGAAGCGACAGTAGGGGAACTGAGGGTTGATAGCGTGTACCTCCGGGGGTGCGCGAGAATCGCGCTCAACGAGGCCCCTCTCCTCTGCAAAATCGAGGATGATGCTGACGGGGTGCATCAATGGGGTCCGAGGGCGGTCCAGGAGAATGGACTGGGCCCAAGTCTTAGGGTGGCTCCTATAACCTCCCCCGGGCTTGGCTTGGCCTTGCCGAGGGCGGTCATCGGAGGGTCCCGAAGCCTTGGGGCGATTTGGAGGAGCCCCCGGCCCTCGGTTGTGCTTGTTGTCAGCCCTCGGGGGCTGCTGGTCCGGATGCTGGTGATACTTCTCCACCTCCTCGGCCTCAGCATATCGGTCCCCCCGCTGCAAGGCCCTTATGTAGTCGCGGGGGGGTTCAATGATGAGGCTCCTTGAAAAGTTGCCGGTACGGAGGACGGTTTGTAGGAGGGCCAGGAGGGTCCCGTCATCAGCACCGTCGACCTTGTCGGCCTCCGTCCTCCAGCGCTCCAGGAAATCCCGAAGGGTCTCATCCTTCTTCTGGCGTATTGTTAGGAGGTGGGAGAAGTGCTTCCTTGTGCGACGCCTCCCGGCAAATTGTGTCAAGAACCGCTGGGCGAGTTCTTGCCATGAATCAATACAGCCCTCGGGCAGCCTGTTGAACCATTCGTATGCTGGTCCCTCTAAGGTGGAGAGGAACCAACGACACAAATATTCGTCTGATGCCCCCACCATCATCATGCTGTTCTGATACTTGCTGTAATGTTCCTGGGGGTCCGTTTTCCCGCTGTAGGGCTGTATGTGTTGCCCTCAGTATTTCTCCGGGATCCGGGCCGCCAATACCCTTGGGGTAAATGGCGTCCGAGTCCGGAGCTGGATGACGGGTTCCCCGGAGCCCTCGGCCACCTTCTTCTGTAACTCATCCATTTTGGCCATCATGGCCTCGTATTTGAGATCTGAGTGAGGGGTGGAGGTGGTGGCGTGAGCTTTGTTGGACTCCATTTCGTCAAGCCGGTGCTGGAGGGCCGCAATAATCTCGTCCCGGGGGTCCCTTGGGAGGGTCTCCGCCCCCTGCGAACGAACCCGGGCCGAGTGGGCCTGGTTGATTTGGTGCCAAGCATCATCGGCATGAAGGGGTGCCTTGCCCTTGTCCCGAGGGGGACGCTCCTCGTCTGCCCTCGAAACAGATCCCCCGCTTTCCTGGGGCCTTTGGAGTGCTTTCCCCCCGAGGCGGTCTTGGACCCCTCGGCGGTCTGGCCCTCCTCCGAGCCGGTTGAGGGCGGAAGTACGGGGCCTCTCCCTGTTGTCATTATGGCGGTCCCGGGACTGAACTTCCTGGGAGGATGTTTCTTGGGCCACCACCCCTTCGTCGTTTCTCACCCGAGGGGTGGGATTTCCGAAGGGGTGTGGCAGAGGGGGAAGTATGATATTTTCCCCGATCTGAGGGTGAGCTGGAGCCAGGGTGCCGAAGGCACCCGGGTTCTGGATGAGCGTTTGGATGAAGGCGGAGAGCGCCGATTGTACGTCGATGGTGAGAACCGGAGGGCTGACTTGGTCATCGCTCCGGTTTTTCTTCTTGGCCTCGATGTCGAGGCAGGCATCGGGGGCGTTTTGTTGGATCTGAAGGCGTAGGTCGACAGCTGCCTGTTCCAGCCCAGCGAGGACACCGCCCTCGGGAGCCCTGTGAGAGGCTTCGGGGGCGTTGACGTCGCCGAGGGGAAGGTTCTTGTCTTCTACGTTCTTTGAGTTGGCACGCGTTGTCCTCACCATTTTGATAGAGGGCTAGTGTTTTGTGTTTGGTCGAGGGGGAGGGTTTCTTACTCGATTGTTCAACCTCTCAACGAGAGCACCAAATGATGGATAGTGTACCCGGGGGGTAGCTTACCCGATGGGTTATTACGGGGAATAACTAGAGAGAAGTCAGAGCAAACAAATAAGAGAGAGAGTGTATATTCGATATGTATTCAGCGTGCTATGACTTTTCAGCGTGGTTACAAATGAGGAAATGGGGTGCTATTTATAGCAGCAATAAATGCCGGACAGGGACACGTGTCAAGCGCTCATTGGCCGAGGGGTCACCTCAACTGGCTGGCGCCGGCAGCCGCATGTGGCCGCATTTAATGCGGCTGTTGGATGGGACGTCTGTGCAGAGTACGGTGATCTGTACGCATGTGAGGCGGATATCTTGTCGAGTGAGATGCCTTCGGCTATAGAGCAGTAGCCGAGGGCTCACAGTACCGAGGGCTGCTGTTTTCGCCGTTTTCTCCCAGTTTCTTAGTTTGCTTGAGAAACCCGCTCTGTGATAATTTGGAGCCTTCGGCCAGGGGGCCGAAGGCACCCCTGTGCGTTGTGCGGACTGCTTGGTACTCTGGGCGCTGTGATTTGGGCCTGTTGGGCCTGTTGGGCCTTTGATGGAGTAGTAGGAGTCTGTGGACCGGGGGTTCCCGGACCATATACTCCATCAGCAAGTTTGGGGTGTTTATATCACACCCCTTCAAAGATTGGGGTATTTTTATTAGTGTTCCCTAAATATTGTTATTACCTCAGTCTTAAATACGGATAACATAAAGTAGATATATTATTAGTATGCCTTTCAAAAAAAAATGTAGATTTAGTATATGGTATAATTATTAAGAAAAGTTTATGTGATTGATAAAAAAAATCATCTAAAATGAAAGTTAATGAGTGTCTTTTTGAATTTTTAAAATATGAATAAGTTTTCATTTATTTAATAATCAATATGACGTTTATCCCGGTTAAAAGTTCCTAGTACAAAATGACAAGATTATTTAGACAATAATTAAATAATATAATTTGAGTATATTTTCTTAAATAAGTTGGATGAGTGTATAATATAATGAAGTCATTGATGATAACTGTTATGATATAAATATTAGAAATTGCTCTAAATAGGAACAATTTTTTTTTTAAATTCAAAAATAGAAGTATCATGCTTTTATTTCCTTAATAGGAGTAATCTGGCAAGTTTGAAAAAAGAAATGATGCTTTAAAGCCTAGTAATGTCAAACTTGACAGAAATTTACTTTTACTCAAGGAATAAAAAACATGATACTCCTATTTTGGAATTTCAAAACTTTTTTACTCCTATTTAGGGAATTCTCTCTATAAATATTATTTTTTTGTTTTTTATATTTGATGATTAAATTATTATTTAAAAGTGTTAATTATTTACTAAAATAGAAATAAAAATCTTTATGTTAAGGACCAGGGTACTACGCAATATTGCTATTAGAACCTCCACCTTTTGTAGCTTAATTAGACCGGAACTACAGAGCTAGTCGCATTTAATTGGTGTATTATACAGTATTTTCTAGTGCAAGTAGCCGTGGAAAGAGTGGGCAGGCAAAGCGATACGTCAAGTCAAGAAGACGATACTGTAAAAATCAATGGTGAATTGAAGAAGAAGAAGAAGACGACGAAAGGGACAGATATGAAGTGGAGGTGGGACTCCATCTTCCCCACTTAAATAAATAAATCATATTTGCTTTCCACTCGCTATACACACATGCGCAGGCTCCGATCTTTTCTTTTCCCGTTCCTTCTTCTATAGCTAGCAGGGCAGGGGGTGGGGGAGAAATGGGGGGGTGCACCGCGTCCAAGCTGGACAACGAGGATACCGTCCGCCACTGCAAGGACCGGTGCCGCCTCATGAAGGAGGCGGTCTACGCCCGCCACCACTTGGCCGCCGCCCACTCCGATTACTGCCGCTCCCTCCGGATAACCGGCTCCGCCCTGGTTTCCTTCTCCGCCGGGGAATCCTTTTCCGTCTCCCACGAGACACCTGCCGTTTTCCTCCGCACTCCTTCCTCCGCCTCCGCTGCCTTCAAAACCCCTCCCCGCCCGCCGCCGGTGCGCATCCCTTCACCATCTCCGTCCATTCACCAACCCCAACCGCCCCCGCAGCCGCAGCCGCAGCACTTCTCCCACTCCCGTTCTCCCTCAGTCGCCAGCTCTCTCTCCTCCCAGCGCCACCAGCAGCTCCGGTTACCGCAAACCCGCCAGAAAAAGCCCACTATGAAACTCCCCCACATCCTCTCCGACTCCAGCCTCCCCACCACGCCGACCACCAACAATTTCTTCGATCACCCATACGCCACCGCGAATTCTCCCTCACAAGCTTCCTCCGTCTGGAATTGGGAAAATTTCCACCCTCCTTCACCCCCAACATCCGAGTACTTCGAACAGCTCCAGAAAAACAAGGCCCAGCCGCCGCACGATCACATCAACCAGCACAGTGATGAAGAAGACGAAAACGATGACGACAACTCGTCTTCGTATTCCCAATTCCCACCACCTACCATTCCTCCCCAGAATGCATCTTTCAAGCAGTATGATTTCTTTGATAACCAGAGTGTCAACGATGAAAAGGCTTCTGTTCACTCTTCACGTTCTCACCCCTCTAATGAGGGGAATTTGCGTAGTCAAACCCCGATTTTGCAGAATAATCAACAGCAGCAACAGCAGCCTAGGAGTAATTTGCATAATCAAGACCATATTTTGCAGAACCGACACCATCATCTTCAACAAAATGGTAAATGGGAAAATGAAGGAGAGAGGGAAGAATTACAATACATTAAGAGGAGGGATTTTCATAATCAAGATCAGAATATTCAGAGTCATCAGTTTCATCACCGGATGAGTAATCAAGATCCGATTTTGCAGAAACAAGATCAAAATCTGCAGAACCATCTTCATCATCTTCAACACAACAATAGCAATTGGGAAAGTGAAGCAGCACAAAGGGAGGAATTACACTACTCGAAGAGGAGTTTTCATGATCAAGATCCGATTTTGCAGAGTCGTCATCGTCATCATTCACGGATGAGCAATGGAGAAAGTGAAGCAGAGAGGGAAGAAGTGCGGTGTAGTGAATGGGAAGACCATGACCGTTACAGCACTACTAGCTCTGGGTCCTCAGGGCTTGAAGAAGATCCGGCGGAAGATAAAGAAGACCCGAGATACGAGGCCGGTCCAACCCCTTCAGCAATTAATGTGAGGTCAAATTCTAAGAATTACTATTCATCAGCTCATAGGTCGGGCAATGCAGGGTCGCCTGCGATGAGTTGGGGGAACGGAACCACTACTGGTAAAGAGGAAGTGGTGGAAGCAGATAACAGAATGGTGGTGAGGCATGAAGATCTGTCTGAGATTGCAGCTGCCATCAAGTCCTACTTTGACATGGCCGCTTCTTCTGGCGATCAGGTTTGCGACATGCTTGAGGCTGGCCGTGAACAGCTTGATCGCAATTTCAAGCAGTTAAAGAGTGTGTTCCTTTTTTCCCTCTCTCTCTCTTACACTTTTTGATTCATTCTCCCTTTCTTCTGTTAGTAAAATCCTTTGTTGTTAGGTCTAAATTAGAAAACTCCAAAAGAACTCCATAAGTAGTAAGGATTGCACTACATTTTTCATTCACCATACACATCAGTACACCACAGTTCAACAAAAACAATACCAATTTGGACCCTCTTTTGTTTATCCAATGTGTTTGGGTTTATGGGATGTCACTATTCGCCCTGAATATTAGTCACTGCCACACAACACTTCTGATGCTACTCCCAGATACTAATGATTCTTCTGTTCCGTGGTTTACATTGAAAAACATCTGGAAAACCAAACAACGCAACTTCGGAGAATCTGAATATGAGGTTTTTCATAGGTAGAGGAGTTATGTTTAAAAGTAATTCAGACGTGTTTAACTAATTTAAAAACAAACTTTTACTTCACACGCGTGAGTTAACCTAATAATTACCCGTACTCTATCTTTATATATATGCATCTCGGTTTTAACCTAAGCTCACTTAAATTCACCAAACTGGTTTATCGAATTCACTCCATCCAAATGGAGTGTTATTATACTGAAACAAACTACAGAGTAACTCCTGATTAGGATCTGATGATCCATCCTATAAAGTTGTTTGACGTTTCAGACTGAAATACCACAAAGTCTTAATATCACCGCCATTTCACTGTCATCATGAGTGATCATTATTATGATTTCAGTAGGTGTGTAGGTGGTTAATCCGACTAAAACATACTCAAGCATGCGTGGATACATTATTTTCAATTTAAAGGGCTTTGGTGTTTGTGGAATTTGCAGAGACAGTGTATCATTCAAGTGGGATACTGAGTAGTTTGAGTTCAAGCTGGAGTTCTAAGCCTCCATTGGCCATCAAGTATAAACTTCAACCTCTCTCAATCAGCGAATCAGGGGGTCAAAAAAGTTTACGTTCCACCTTGGACCGACTCTTAGCTTGGGAAAAGAAACTGTATGCGGAAGTGAAGGTATACATACTCATTCTCATTCAATTTTCTCACTACAACTTCTCTCATTTTCTATACAACAACAACATCTGAGACTTAGTCCCAAAAGATTTTGGGGTCGGCTAACATTAATTGATACATGATACCGGAGCCAAAAGGTATTCATATTTCGATTGATGTCATGTGATGCGACTAAGTGATATTGTTGGTCGTCACGCGCCTACCACAACATCATCATCCTTTATCCTGGTTTGCAACCAGTGGCGAATCCAGGAAATTGAACTATTCGGGGTGGAACAGAATACAATGAGATATCTAAATAACAAAAAATTGTAAAACAATACATAAGAATTTATAGACTAAATATAAAGTATATTAAAATACAAAAAAATCTTAAAAAGGTGAGTCACAATTGGTGTCTTCAAGAGCAGAGGTAAGGGGGCTAACCGGGCCCCAGTCCATCCCAAATTTCTTTGAATTTTTAATATCGGTCTACCCCAAGCTTCGATCCTAGCTACGTCCATGGGTGTCTCTGAATTTGACCACGTCCTTGGGTGTCTTTGAATTTCAACTTTTGAAAGATATTTTATAATTTCATTTGTAACAATTCTAAATACATCTCTTTCTACTCCATATAAAGTAAACAAGACAATCAATCTGAATTCTATTTTCATCATTTGCAATGGAGCCAAAGATTCATTATTTTTTGGCTTGAGGTTATGATGGAATAAAGCAAAATGGCTCACTAAAATGTCTGCGCTTCTTTGTTATGGAGCAGCAGTCAGTCCATGCAATCTTGGACGCGATTTTCACTATGGATCATCCGGAAACAGTCTCTCCGTGCTTTAGTACAGGGGTAAGACTGCGTACATCCGACCCCCCCTTACCCCACCGTAGGTGGGAGCCTTTGTGGCACTGGGGTAAATGAAAAAAAAATGACTATTTATAGGTAGTTGCAAATTTTCTATTGTTAATTTTAACTTACTAAAGTTAGTAAGTTACTGTACAAACACAATAACACTTCAATAGATTATAATATTTTTTTGAGAAGAAATTAGGATGTACTACTATTATTATACTTCAATTGTTTATTTATTATATCTAAACAAAACATAAAAAGGGCTTGATCATCAAATCTACACATAAGCAAATTAACAATATAACACATACCGAGTACAAAATAGGAAGTATACAATAATCATTAGTCAGCAAATTACTCAAATAGTGAATACTTAATAGACTTACAAGAGAAAGTGATAAACACATTTTTGCAATTTATGAGGAGCGGAGCTCGATTGGATTATTAAAGCTGAAGTATACAGAGTATTATTTCAGCATTTGAGCATTGCCGCATTGAGTTGTTGGGGGCATTTCACTTTTTTTTATTGGGGGCAATTCTATTGGTCTATTTTTTCCCTAGTATAATATAGAGGATTAGTGCTAGTTTATTGGGGGCAACTGTGCCCCCTCTTACATAATCTGTGCATCCGCCCCTGTTTGCAACATGCATGATACCAAAAGTGATCTCATTTTTTATACTAGGCTTTAGTAGTCTAATCTTATTTAACTTGGTTATATGTTTTCTTCGTGGTATTATGCCCTTAGAGGTATGTTGATTTTACAATATCAATCTTGTAATGGGATTTGATTATGAGTCTATGATATTTTCCCAGAAAATAGGAATGTTTGGGTATTTCATTCCATTATCCCTTCGTCGTGACTATAGGAGCATTCTCTGTAGGCTTTGACTTAAAGCTACTTTTTGCATGAATGAGTTAATAATGTTTAGGACTTATCTATTTGGATTACAATTTACTAGTTTGATTGTTGTTCTAGTCTATTACATCTTAGGCAAGTTTGGACTGATTTGATCTAGGCTGAAATAAGTTCAAGTGAATATAAGTCTGAATTCTAGACAATTAATTGACAACAACAACAACATTACCTCAATGTTGCAAAGGCTTCCACCTACATTGGGGTAAGGGGGTTGGATGTACGCAGTCTTACCCATGTACTAAAACATAGAGAGACTGTTTTCAGATGACCCATGATGAAAAATGACCCATGATGAAAATCGCGTCGAAAATTGCATGGAATGACTGTTGCTTCATAACAAAGAAGCGGCAGATAGTTTAGTTGAGCCATTTTGCTTTATTACATCATATTCCCAAGCCAAAACATAGTACGTCTTCATGACGCTACTCTTCATTGGTGTTAATTAATTTGGGACACGACTCTTCATCGGTGTTAAACTTTTTTCCATCCTTTTTTTGACATGATGGTTATTATTTCAGGCCCGAGAAGGAACAAAAATTCAGCATGAAAAAAAATTGGCCACACTTCAAAGTCAGGAATACAGAGGGGGTGATGTAGCCAAGTTGGACAAGACTAAGGCAGACATAAACAAACTCCAATCTTTGATTTTGGTCACCTCTCAAGCCGTCACCACGACCTCTTCTGCTATTATTGGCCTTAGAGAGTCTAACCTTGTCCCTCAGCTAGTTGAACTTTGTCATGGGTAAGTGCTTCTTTTTTACTTGGGTAGCCAAAAGTATTTATTTGTACATTATCCAAGGTCCCGTTTCGAATTATTAAAATGGAATAAATCATTAAACTTTTTTGAGGGAAAAACGTTTGGTAACATCCATTACAACCAAATATTAGATCAAAAGTTGCTTATTCCAAACAGAGCCTAAAATGCTCTTCTTTGTAGCTTCTTGTTCTTTGAGGGCTCATACTTTAGTACTGAAACTTCTTGGTCTCATGCACTTGAGTTAGTTGTTGCTTAAAAGGATCAATTTTAAGAGGTGGAAGTCTTCTAAGGAACTGCTAGTACATTTGGACTAAAGTGGACTTGTCTAGTTTGAACGGTCTATTCCGTTTCAATTTGGTCTGAACTCGTTATTTTGTTACTATCCAAGTATGGTCTAGTTTCAAGTGGTCTGGTATGGTCTGTTTATGTTTGATCTAGTATGATTCGCTTTGTAGGTTGGAACTGCAATAAGTCGAAAAAAGCTGATCTTTATTAACTATGAAAATGGGGTCCTTTAATTTCCCAGTCTCGTTTAAGTGTTAGGTGAACATTAATGGTGATCTATGTGCTTTGCATTAATCCCTGTGACCATTAGCTGGTTCTGTTAGACATTGGTTGTCTCCTAGTAGCCTGCCTATTCAGAGATTATTATGGCTCATATATATGCTTTATTTCCACATATTCATTTAGTACTATGCTAGACTATCATGATAGCATTAATCAGAGGCGTAGCTAGGGGATGGCCAGCCCTGGCCCTAGCCCAGCCCAAACTTAAAAAATGTCTAAATTTTTAGTGTAAAAAATTCCGTGAAAAATTTTCAAAAATATTCTTTGTACTGGCCCAGTCCGGCCAAGTGCCTAGGCTCTGCCCCTGGCATTAATGTTATTGTGGGCTAATGGCTAAAGTTAAACATGAAAGGAATAGAATGTTCTTTGACCATTTGGTGGTGGTAAAATTTGTGAGATGTGACTAAAGCGAATGTGATTTGTTGAGAGTGTTGCTGGAAAAGGATTGAATTGTCTCAATTAGTACTTAAACGAATAACACATCTGAAAATGAGGGTAGAGGTGTCTTTTCTCTATATTGCAACATTTAAAATATTTTTTTGTAGCTGCTTTTTCATCATGTGATGATTCAGCTAACATAATCAGTAATATAGTTCATGTTTAATTGTCCAGTTACCTAGTGGAGCTAATTAAGTTACACTAACCTCATGCATAAGAAGCAGTGCAACCATAAATAAATAAAAAGCAGTGCAACCATACATAAATGTTTACTCCACACTGATAATAGGCTTAATACGATATTGCCTTCTTCCGCAAATATTAAATCACATCTTATATAGTTAATAACATAATTATCCTTAAAGTTCGTGGATGATTGATTTGCAATGATGGTGTCCGGCGGTGGCAAAAGGTGATGGTGTCTGATGATTGTGGAAGTTAACCGTAATAGCTAATAGCGCTGAAGCCGTTGATGGTGGCAATCGGTTTTGGACTTATGGCTGCGTTCATCGTCTGCTTCATGGAGACGTCGAATGAAATTAATAATATAGACTTCATGTTCCTGATGGAAGGGAGGTGTGGAGGTAGTAATTATGTTACCATTTAAAAAGAAGAAAAGGCCACCAAAAAATGTATCATACTTACCACCAATCCCTTAATTTATCATACAAGATGTATAGTTTAAAATAGGATTACGACCAAACAATGTATCATACTTACCACCAATCCCTTAATTTTTCCTATTTTTTCCCAAAACATTAGGAAAAATGAGATTACGCTAAAAGTTGGCACAAGTATTAAGAAAAAATAGGATTGTGTGGCATTGGAGTACATTATTCCCAATTTTCCATCATTTGCAATGGAGCCAAAGACTCACTATTTTTTGGCTTGGGAGTATGGTGGAATAAAGCAAATGTGCTTACTCAACTGTCTGCGCTTCTTTATTATGAAGCAACAATCAGTCCATGCAATTTTTTACTCGACTTTCACTATTGATCATCTGGAAACGGTCTCTTTGTGTTTTAGTACAGGGGTAAGACTGCGTACATCCGACCCCCTTACCCCACCATAGGTGGGAGCCTTTGCGCCACTGGGGTAAATGAAAATGAAATGAAAATGAATGTCATCTTCAAATTTAGAAGGGGAGCCTTGACGCACCCGTTAAGGTGTTGGTGTGTAACCCGAGAGGTCATGTGTTTAAGTCTTGGGAGCGGCCTTTTATCAAAATTTTATGGGGGAAGGGATGCCTTGGTGGACCGGGCTGCCATTTTCTATGTGTCTTCCCATGTCAATTTGCGGCACTGGGGTAATGATAATGATAATGGGGTACATTATTTCCCAAAATATGACCATCATAGCAATCTTTCTTTTATAGCATTCTCTATTTAATGATCTTATTTATTTAATTATTGATGTTCTTTATCTATGATCAAATAAATACTCCCTCCGTCCGAATTTGTAAGACACTTTACGTTTTACGATGTTTGACCGACGATGAAGCAACAGATCCTTGTTTGCACTCAAATTATTTTTAGAAAAAAAATTACATATTCAGAAACTACATTAAAAGTTTTACAAAGTCGCAAAAACCAGAACCAAATTTGATAAAATTTTGATATATAAAGTAAGAGATTAAGAGTGATTTGTGTTGACCAAGTGAATAGGAAACATGTCTTACAAATTGGGACTGAGGGAGTATCATTTTAGGATCGATAAGCCTTTACGAATCACATTTGAAGATAGTGGTTATGTTTTAATCTTATTTTGGACAATTACATTGTAAAAATAAGAATAATTCTGAGCCATGAAATATGACCAAATTTGATAGCTAACAAACATTCTGGGAATGCTTAAAAAGAAAAAATGAGATACACATGGAAGGAGAGTGAGTATTAGTTTTGCCTAAAAGGTGAGTAAATGAGTAAGATATTTGAGTATGAAGCATGTTTTCACTCAGATCGAATATTTTAGGTCTTTGAGTCTGGTCCTAGACTTATGTGATCTACACTAGTGTATTTAGGTGTATTATATTACTCCGTATTAACTAAGTCTACACTATTGTTATGCTTAAACTTGTTCTTGTGTGGTGTGTTTTGTTTAAATATGGTCAAGTTTGACTTGGTCTGGTTTGAAATCTGTCAAAGTAAAAACGTCCTAAACTCTCAGTGGGGTGATCAGCATTGAAAGTAGTATTTGCGCCATTTTGATAGTTGTCAAGCTTGGGGAATCATGTTTCTTTAATTCACAAGAATATCCTAGCTAAGCAGTTGGTCTGTGTAATGGAATGGCTGCAGGTTGATGTACATGTGGAGATCTATGAACCGGTTCCATGATGTCCAGAACGAGGTAGTCCTACAAGTGAGGGGCCTCATCAACCGAGCAACCCAGCAGTCAACGTCAGACCTACATCGGCAGGCGACCCGTGACCTGGAGTCTGCCATCTCTGCATGGCACGCTGCCTTCTCCCGCCTGATAAAGTTCCAAAGAGACTTTGTGCGGTCCATCTACGGCTGGTTCAAGCTCTCCCTCCTATCAGTTGACGGCAACATGGGCCCCAGCAGTGCGGGAGCGTTCTCCTTCTGCGAGGAGTGGAAACTAGCCCTCGACCGGGTACCGGACACTGTGGCATCAGAAGCCCTCAAGAGCTTCATAAATGTTGTGCACTCCATATCCTTGAAACAAACCGAGGAGGTGAAGATCAAGAAACGGACCGAGTCAGTGTCCAAGGAGATGGAGAAGAAGGAGTCTAACATTCGCAGCCTTGAGAGGAAGTTTTACAACTCTTACTCCACTGTGGGTATCAACCTTTCAGATGATCGCGGTGGTGGTGAGGCTTTGGATGCGCGCGACCCGCTGGCTGAGAAAAAGGCTGAGCTACAGTCGTGGCAACGCCGGGTGGAAGATGAGATGTTGAAACACCTGAGGGCAGTGGAGGTGACGAGAGCAATGACTCTTAACAACATTCAGACGGGTTTACCCCCCGTGTTCCATGCCATGACTAGTTTCTCTGCCTTGTTCACTCAAGCTCTTGAGGCTGTTTGTGCCAGTTCTTATTCTATTTAATTATTGATTTATTACTTGATAATTATACCCATCCAGGTGATATCAAATTACTATATAGTTACTATTTTCTTTTCTTCTTGTTTTGTTGTATAGAGAAATACAGTTTGAGTTTTGCCACACCTGACATTGGTTATATGCCTCTCTCTGTACATATATTAGTTTTCTCTATTATAAATGTATCAAAAATCAGAGCAACTTGTTTAAAGAGATGAATAAAGTTGTTGGCTTATGTTTTTTATAAATAATACTGTACAAAATATGATGTCATAAGCTATTGTGCTATACTTCTCTGTAGCGCTAGGATAGCCATCCTTTTGGGAATGCCAACCTTGTGCATTGCGAAGTTTTGCTATAGATGCTTATTGTTGTGGTTCACCAGAAATTACTGAAGAATGTATTTTTTTCTTTTTCTCCAATATCTCCATTGAAGTCATCTTTCTAGGGAAAACTGTCGTTGAACAGGATTGTCATGAAACAACATTAAATTACAAGGATAACACAAACCTTGTCTTGTCTTAGTAAAGATATCACTTTGACAAAGTTATAAATAAAGCGATATACGATTAAATAGGTCATGTCGTGTTTATATACATTCATATAACTCGGGAACCCGTATAGATTTAAAGGGTCACACACCTAAACAATATTGATCATTAGTCAAAATATGACATTAATTAAACTCAATTTGAAATAGGGATTTCAAATTCTATTTATAAAGGCTGCAAAAAGTTTTTCAAATTATAAAGTCTCGTTTTCTCATATTTTGGACTTGAATGAGTGCCAAAAAGTTTATATATTAATTAGATATATGTTTATAAACAACTAAATCGTGAAGCAAGAGAGAGAAAGCTAGAATATTGTATGCACTATGCACATGATCCATTATTGTTTGTGTATGTTTTATCTTCATGTTATTTCATATAATAGCATCATAGCATGAGTATAAGATCATGTTTGATATTCTAAATGATTGTTTTCAGATACACTATATCTCGGTCCATTGTCATAAAATAGGAAAAAGCACATGATAATGCGTAACAATATCATTTCTTCATTTTGTGTACGCGAATAAAAAGGAAAAATAAGAAAAGAAATATTTACGAGATCGTTTAAAAAACATTTTTTAAATAATAAATTTGGATATCATTTATCAAATCAAAGTTTATTAAGAGTAGTTAAAACTAGCCATAGTTTCTCCAATATGTTCAAGAATGACTAGCTCTTGTATGTAGAGCGGAGACAACGTGCAAAGCATTGCACTCCACATATCACAACGTACACTCTTATCCAAATCAAAAATTCATGAGCACAAAAGATCTCAACCTCCTAGATAAACACAAACCGCCCTACAAAAGACCTTACACTGTCCCGAATCACTGAATTTAATCCACATCTTTGACTTGCTCCCTACTGTGACGTCAACATTTAATTTAAGCGTCCCTCCCTCAACTTCTACCACAAGCCCATCAAGTTCACTATGTCCTTCCACCAAATGCATCCCCTCCCTCAAGCTTCTACTTGGCATAATAGGAGCAATCTATGTGTCATCAAACAGTATGTAAAGCATACCTGTACACATTTTATAATCAACGCGATGTGACTTTGCAAAACCCAACCTCTTAAGAATTTGTGCTAAAAAAGCTCATTCCACGTGATCATACATTTTACTCATGTTTAGCTTCATCCCACCACCCAACCTTCCCTAAGGTTTGTTCTTGAGAAAATGATGAACCTCAAAAGAAATCATGATACCAATTATCCATGGATCAAGTATAAAAGCATTTTGATTATGCAACACCTCCCATTTAACACAAGATCTAGTTAGCCGGCACTTTCCCAAATACCTTATACACCATGTTACATAAAGAAATAAGCCTACAATACGCAATAACCTCCCAAGCATCCTTCTTTGGAATAAGAAATTTAAGTGGTTACCAAATTCAAAAGCTTGTTTCAAAACTCCACCACATACCACATCTGGTCTCACTATGTCTGAGGAAAAATATTTAGTTCATACAGCCCAGACTCATAGCTTTACCAGGATGCATATTAAATAGAGCTTCATTAAATAGTTAACAAGTCTATTTCTCCTATAGCTTTAAGTTTACCCTCCCAAACTTACCCACACTATCTCCATCCACTCTTCCTTAAAAAGTGCAATTTTTTATTACAAAATTCCTCTTTAGGACCCAGGCCCACTCCACTCATCTTCCCCCACATTCCTCTGTCCCACACAATCCACCGGTCGCACCATGTCCACCCATCCCAACCTCCAAGTTCATTGGACCACTACCTAACAATAATCTTCCTTCAACTACAAAAATTCAAATTTAAAATTACATGGGAAAACTATCAAATAAGCCCCCGTACTATGCCGAAAAAGTCGATTAGGCCCTCGTACTTTACAAACACTCAATTAAGTCCTCGAACTATTAAAAAACGTTCAATTAAGCCCTTTTGGTCACTAAGTAACCGGTTTCCCGGTTAAACGACGACGACGGCAACGATGTGCTCGAACCCCAGCAATGGCGGCTTTCGGGAAACGGGTTACATTTAACCGGGAAACCGGTTACTTACCGACAAAAAAGGCTTAATTGAACGTTTTTTTAATAGTTTGAGGACTTAATTGAGTGTTTGTAAAGTACGAGGGCCTAATCGACTTTTTCGGTATAGTACGGGGGCTTATTTGATAGTTTTCCCAAATTACATTGTCTATACTCCCTCACTAGGACTAAACTTGATAAATGGCCGCTCGGAGCTCCTTAATCTATCAACCTATCCTTTTGATACTGATATATCGTCCAACTTTCCTTCTGCCCGACCCACCTAGATGGTCCCCTCCACCTCTTATTTACAAACTCAAAATAGTCGAAGGTGAATTTTATACTATTCATATGCTCTACTTTGACTACATTTTACACTATTATTTTATGAAAATTATTTTTTTTAAAAAAATATTGTTCAATTCATCTCATTACAAATTTTCAAAATCTGATTTTTAATATTTTTACTAATAGAATTAAGTTATAATTACGATCAAAGACGTGAGTATGTAGCAGCAACCATTGATGATATCACCCTCAGGATGTTGAAATCACCCATAGGCCATAACCAATAAGGGTAAATTGAACCATGAACAAGCGCCTACAACCGTTTCCACGATCCCTATTTTAGATCGCTCCGGACACCCATATATAGAAGCCTCTAAGAATGTTTTCTTTTGGACCGTTTCAGTCCCAGACCAGACCAAACTTAAACAGATCAGACCAAACCTGAATTCAATAGTTATAAAATATAAAGAAATCAAACGTTTACCAGATCAAATTAGACCAGACTTAAAGAAAACATGCTAAGTTGCCACACTCGATCACCGCATCAAAAGAAAACATGCTAAGTTGCCGCACTCGATCACCGCATCAAATCGTACATGAGGATTACTGATTTAGTGGCATCTCTAGTCTCTACCCCCCCCCCCCCCCCCCCCTCACCTCAAAGGAGAGCTCGTCCTCTATGTCCTCTACAATAAACGATCCAGTGTACCCCAACTTCCATCGATACCCTCCACCAATTTTTTATAAAGAAATTCTTTAAAATCATAAATAATACAAACCTTAAAGGAGAAGCCAAAACAAAAAGAAATAAATATATAAGAAAAAAAGAAGAAAGCAAAGACTCAAAAAGCTGCCGGCCAACTGAAGGGGATATGATAGTAGAACATTGTTGCTCTTATGCTCATTTCCCGAAATTAACTTTTCACTTTCCTTTTCGAACAGTCATAAAATTAACTTTTCATTCCCTTAGTTGGAAACAAATCTACTTCAGAACAATGCAAAACAATGTCAAACAGTGTCAAAACAGTAAAATTTATCTCCCACTAAATTTATTTCCTTAATATGTGTGAAATCCAAGTGGTAAGTTAATTTCGGGACAGAGAGAGTATTAAATTGGCCGGAGAAGAACTGAAAAGTAAGAGACACATAGGAATTATATGAACCAAAATAGAGCAAAGAGCTGCTAATTATAAAAACCTAAGTTCTCCTGTTTCAGGATTCCAAGGTTTTTTAAGGATGTATTGTTTTCAGGATTCCAAGGTTTAATAAAAATTATAAATCTACTAATGCAATTATGAAAACAATGATGAACGGAAAAGTTTTTAGAAATTTGTGGTTGTCAACGTGCTTTGTAAGTTTTTATGCCAAAACGTGCAAATTGCTTTGCCTGTTTCTGCAAACTTTGCCTGTGGTTGATTTTAATTTGGTCCCATTTCCAACAGGATAATTGTTGAATTTAACACCATCTTAACGGCTAATCATATGAAATATTTATGTACAAACCGCAAGATAATTTATTGGTTGTCAAACAAGACGCTTGAAAGGAGGGTTGAGTCCCCAAAAACCATAAATCGGTCTCCCAGTCAAATTTTGGCACAATTTAATCCGTATTTCATAGGTATCCAATCAAAATTTCTATCAAATGTAACTTACGGAGTATTTAATTGTTCTGAAAAGGTTATTTCAAAATTGCAGAATACATTATACATTGCTTTAATATTTAAAAATAAAGTAAGAAAACGCTGCGCGTCACCAAAAACAAATTCAAGCCATTTGCCTAATTAAATAATATCAAGTATACTCTATTCATATTTTAGCAAATTCAGCTTGACGAAACATTTTAATCAAGTCTTAACCTCTCCCCCCATCCCCCACCGCCAATTTGGCCCTGTCAGAAACATCTTTCTTTGTTCCAGTCTTCCAGACATTTATTGTCATTTTTGTGGCACATTTTTTTATCTATGGCCTAATTTTAGAGACAAAAACTATAAGTGCAAAAGATTTTAAAAACATGTATATAAATGTACTTATGTACAAAAACAGTGCACTAAATTATGGGCGGCAACAGAGGGATCAAAAATGCCACTTCTCCTTGAGAATACTTTATGTCACACAGTGCATTCCACCACTTTCACCACACAAACTTGCCCGTGCAAAGAACATATACTTTGTATGTCTAAGAACAAAAAAAACTTGTGAAATGTGAACATGGTGTCTAGAAGACCATCTACACAAAGCATTACCTTAGCATTTTAGATACTTTAAAGTTAAACTTAAATACAAGTCTTTTCATTTACTACCAGTACTGGTTGTATTAATATAGCTTGCCTAATCATAACATTGATCAGCATACAATTCTTCATCAGCATAATTATGTCCTCAACTCATCACAAAAAAGGAGCTTACTCATATCCAAACAGCTGAACAACGAACAATGAGTCAAAGTCATGAAATTTGCTCTAATAGCAGGACTAGGAACCCATATGGATAAGTGGTCACAAAAAAACCAATCCTATACTAAAAGAACTCGAAGTCAAGAAATTTACCATCAGGCTTCATGTCTCCACCACCACCTCCTCCTCCTCCTACTATCCCTTTACCGCTATTCCCGATGCCAACAAGATCAATTTGTTGCCCTACTTTTAACACGGGCAGCTCAGCTTCGACGGGTTTAGGTATCTCGGGCGGTGTGCTACAACGGATCAAAGCCCAGTTAACCCCTTCAAAGAAAGGATGTTGCTTTATCTCTGTTGCCCCTCTCTTAACCCCTAACCGATTCTGCGGCTCTTTAACCAGTAACCCACGGATCAGATCACGACCAGCATAACTGGTTGCGGGTGAATCTGGAAATTTCAGCTGCTGCCCGACCACATTGAAAAGCGTTGCCCGATTTCCTGAACCTTTAAATGGGGTTTTCCCGTAAAGTAACTCATGCAAGAATATTCCAAACGTCCACCAATCAACAGCACTTCCGTGGCCTTCTCCCTTAATGATTTCGGGAGCTAAATACTCGTGGGTCCCAACGAATGACATTGACCTCACCGAAGTGGGTTCCGCGACTAGCTCAGGTAGTGCCTTGCTGCACGGTAGCCCGAAATCAGATCGGGGTTTGTGGGATCGTCTCTTGCTTTTCTGAGGAAAGATCCGCGGGAGGAAGCATGCAGGTTGAATGCAGACAGAGGTGGGTTCAATGCAGGAGGGCTGAACACAGAACGAAGACCCTTGCTTGGATGGATCAGAATAGGTTTTTACAAGTGTTGGTGAAACGGCACATCTTAGGGAAAGATCAAAATCTGAAAGCATGATGTGGCCATCTTCTCGGACCAAAACGTTCTCTGGTTTCAAGTCTCTGTACACAACTCCAAGCATGTGAAGGTACTCAAGTGCCAATAAAACCTCTGCAGCATAAAATCTAATGCATGAAGAAAGAAAACCCAATTAATAAAGATCTGGGAAGCATTTGGTTCACGGGATCTAAGACTATCTCAAGTAATACGATTGATAACCTCCTAAAAGATAATGTGATATTACGGAAATGCGTCTTATCCTAAAATAATTGTATATTTAACTTAAATAAAATCATACACGTTAAATTTATCCTAAAATAGTTATAGCTTTTAAAAAATGTTACACATCAAGGTGCCACACAAAAAAACCATTCTGTCTTTATTAAAAAAATTAACATCACATGCAAACCTATAAAACCATTTATGTAGGGACATTAATATGAATAAATTTGAAAGGTTAGAGAAAAAACAGGGCTTGACTTCCTAAAACGACAATTTTGCTAAATGACAATATATTTGAAATGAAAGGAGTATGACATCCGATTTTAGGGGCAAAATCAGTACAACCTAAGGAGAAAATATTACCAAGGTACCAAGGAAGCTAAAGCTAATCACATTACTCCCTGGCATTTTTCCTATGTGAAAAGTGAATACCACCTTGGAAGGTAATCTAACATTACCAAGGTAAAAAGAGGGAATGGTAAAAAAGGCATACCTGGCAGCATACTCAGAGAAATGTTTTCCAGGTTGGCGTTGCCGTAAATTATGAAGATCTCCCCCAGGACAATATTCCATCACCAAACAATAAAACCGGTCCGTTTCAAAGTGAGTGTACAAAGTTGGCAAGAACGGGTGATCCAACAGTTGCAGTATCTCCCTCTCTGTCTGAGCACGGCTCAACTTCTTCCTGCTCGCAAGTGACGCCTTATCCATCACCTTCATAGCGAAAGAACAGAAGGTCCCACACAGCTCGGAAAGATAAACGCTTCCGATGTCCCCACATCCCAGCCTCCTATGTAACTTAAAGTGACTCATCCCCAACATACCATCCCGTGCCCTAACGGCAAGAATAGCATTCCATCTCGGATCGTTCCCTTTGTGAGGCTTGTTGGCTGTTCCAGTGACATTGCTCCAGTTACTTTCATCACTTAGATCACTGCTATTACTCGCCCTGCTAATGCTCGTTTGGACACTCTCAAGTGAATCAAAGTTTCTGTCTATACTCAGCATGCCATCGCTCATCATCCCGTCACTCTTATATGTGCTTGTGCAGCTATTAACAATGCTCATAGTGCAGCTACTGAGTGGGCTCACGTTCCCACTTGGAGGGAGAGAAGCATCCCAAACACATTCTCTGTCTTCAGAATCTTGTGCCAGGCTGGCTTCTGTGTTTTGTGATGGTCTCGGGACAGCGAAAAGAGAAGAGACTCTTGCCTGATCGTTGGGTTCTTCAAGAAGAGATTGGCCTCGTTTTACATTAAAGAATGTGTCCTTCCTAGATGGGCTCTGGCTAATCGGTACGTACACTGGTCTCATCAGGTTTGTGTCAACGGGTTCAGCTGGATGGGTGGCCCCACGGAAGGATGAAGAATTGCTATCCTCGTATGAATCGGCACTGCTCTTGAATGATGAACCAACATCCAGGGTAACATCATCTTCTTCTTCTTCTTGACAATAAACAACCCCTTTCCATGTTTGCAGAGGTCCGCTTAAGTGAAGATCTTGAAATCCCCGTAAGTTGGGTTTGGTCACTTTGGCCTCGGTAGGTAACTGAGTGGGAAGAGGAACCACCTTAGCCTCTAATGGTATCTGTCTTGGAAGCGGTTTAGATTCAGGAATTGGGAACATATTCATCAATTTAGCCTCTGATGGCAATTGTCTTGAAAGTAGTTTTGATTCTGGACCCCTTTGCATTTTTTACAATTATATATCATGAAAAGAACACGTCTCAGCTGCAAAAACATCAAGAAAAGAAGATTACTCCCAAGTCCCAAGCTTAGTTATACAATCACATAGAATCACATTTCAATGTCTCCTTCATAGGTAAGAAAAATATGCAACAATTATTACGCTAATCATGTAAATAGCATTTAAGAACAGCAATTTGTGGATATCAGAGTGACTGGAAGAAGTTCTCATCGCAAAAGAAGTTTGCACTTTACCACTATGTCCTTGTTTCATTGGGATAATTATTTTGTTAATTTATTGCATTGACATGGGAAGACACATAGAAAATGGCAGCCCAGTTCACCAAGGCATCCCTTCCCCCATAAAATTTTGATAAAAGGCCGCTCCCAAGACTTGAACACATTACCTCTCAGGTTACACACCAACACCTTAACGGGTGCGTCAAGGCTCCCCTTCTAAATTTGAAGATGACATTCATTTTCATTTCATTTTCATTTACCCCAGTGCCGCAAAGGCTCCCACCTACGGTGGAAGGTGGAGTAAGGGGGGATCGTATGTACGCAGTCTTACCCCTGTACTGAAAATCCTGTCCAAAATTGCATGGATTGACTGATGCTTCATAACAAAGAAGGGCAGACAGTTTAGTGAGCCATTTTTCTTTATTCCATCATAATCTCAAGCCAAAAAATAATGAATCTTTGGCTCCATTGCAAATGATGGAAAACTAGAAGATGACATATTATTTATAAATACATGAACATATAGTTATCTTCTACTATAGGACTAACATACACTAGCAAGACGGAAATCAATCCCACTCCCCCTCCCCCAAATCAAAAGCCCTAAAAGTAAAAGTAAATAGCAAGTAACATGCTTTAGCAATCAAGTATTTTACAATACTCCCTACTCAAGGAAGAAGCCTAATAGGAGAAGGAATTCTCTAAAAGCTATTTTACTAGCTGAGTACTTGCATTCTTTAAAAATGGATAAAAACAGAAAGCAATAAAAGGAGAAGGAAAATGAATATTTTCCCATTTTAATGGTCAAATACGCATTATAATAATCCAGAAAACAAGAACATCTTTACATTTTTTAAAAAAAAAATATATGCTGTAAAAACAATTCATTAATCAGAATATCGTTATTCATATTGTCCAACACATAGAGAAGCAATACGCATCAGCAGATCCCTACTCATGCGCAGCTTTGCTTTCTATCACGACTTGTATAGTTACCGAAGTATTTCATCAATAACCAGAGAGTTTCATTCTTAAATTATATTCTCTAGAAGCCTCTCCACAAAATGGGATGAAACCCACACAATATCAATCAAATCCGTAAGTGCAAAGAGAACAACTCATAGACCAAAGAGCAGTAGACATGCAGCAGCCACTCCAAGGGAACGCTGGCTAGATAATAACAATAATAAGCCTAAAAGCAAGCAAGCAAGCAACAAACGAGCAAAAAAAGGCATTCTCACGCAGACAGAAGGAATTAAAACAAGCGTCCGCACTATTGATTAGCTTGTAGGCCCAATTGAATCCAGATCTGTGAACGGCAACGGAAATGAATATCTCACTGTGAATGAATCAAACATAAATTCACACCTGCGGTGTAATCTAGTCTAGTCTAGTCTAGTATGGAGCAAAGAAGAGAGCCTCAATTCCCCCTCCTGTATTTCTACATAAAAGAACCAGCTGAGGCCTGAGGTGATAAATGGGATTTGACGGAGCTGGGGGTTGAAAGCTTCTTCCTGCAAGGGCTAATAGCTTAGATTGTAGGGAAGCGTGGAGGAGGAGTGAGCATATAGGGGATAGAGAGTGAGCGGAGGAAGAGAAGAGTGAGGAGACGTCCAGAATGGCAGCTAAAGTTTATGCCGACAAGGCGGCAGAAAGAGACAGAGCGGCTTTTGCTTTATCGTCGTTTGAGGAAGGGAGGGGCTCCGCCGCTCCACTACTTTAATTGCTTGCTTGCTTGCATCGGGGATCCCCCACCCCCCAATCCAAATTCTCTTTACTTTTATTGATGGAATATAATAAAAAGATTGATTGAAATGTCGTGGACTATTACTGTGTTCATTTCTTTTTTGTACTACCAAAATTATTATCCACCTACCTCTTCCCAAACATAATACACTGCTAAAATACTTATTCACCAACAACCGTACAAACCATTGTCATCCACTTTTGTCTTATTTTCATTTCATTAAGGAGTCCTAAAATATTTTATCATTTCCTTTCAAAAAAAATAAAAATGTAATTAAAGTTATGTCCCATAAAATTTGACCAAATTTTTTTTTATCGTCCCAAAAAACTTCATCATTTCCATAAAGTTATTTATTTTTTCTTCTGCACAAATATTTATCACACAGTTTTTACTTTATTATTTTACGTACAAATCAATCTTGGTCAATTTTTGACATTAAAGGAATATTTTTTAATTTATTATTTTACGTGCAAATAAAATTCAAACAAATTTATGGGCCGGAGAGAGTATTATGAGAATATTCTTAAAGCTACCATACTGTATAACCAATTCCTGGTAAGATGAAGAAATTTGACTTGATAAGTGTATGTATTTTTCCTAGAAATAATTCTTGTCACCTTGATCAGTAATATAATTAATGCTACTAACATCTAAGGGGGTGTCCCGACTATAACTTTGATGGATTTTAAGTGGTCGTGAATTTTGAAATTCGATGGAAGTTTACAAGATTGTGGTCGAATGTTTTTGTATATATAAATCCACCAAAATCCATGTAAATAAGTAATAATAGAAATTCACGGGATGTTTGAGGACACTCTGGTTTTCATAGATTCCACATAAATCCAAATTGGGGACACCTAAATTCTAAAGGAATTCTAAACTCTATTAGAATTCTCCAGACTCCATATTGGGGACACCCCCTAAATTTGTGGAGATGAATGTGAGTCCAAATATCCTACAATTCCCAAGAAATTGACGTAGCAAATTAAAGAATTAATCTATCAATCTGAGGCCAAATATCCTACGTAGATGTATTAGTACACCTGTTGAGGTTTATTCCGTCAACCCGTAGACCCAACACACGACCCAAGGGTTTCGAATGGAAGAAATAAAGAAGTAGATGTAGAAACAAGCAAGAAGAGACCCAGTAAGAAGTCTTGGTACATTAATTTCAGTACAAAGGCTTGAGGCAGTTCATCCCTAGCATACAAAGGCATGAGGTCGTTCGTTCTTATCAATGTCTTCTCGGATGATGTGGTCATCATTGATAAAAGGAGCATCATCCTTCAGCGGTGAATCAAACAAATCCATATCTGAGACAATGCACGAGTGAACATCTTAATATGTACATGACAGTTCTTCTTTCACGGGGATTGATGCTTCTTTATTATAATCATCTCCCTCAAGGTGCTTCTCATCTGTATGCTTGACAGCCTCGACGTGTTCACTCAGATTGTTTTCAGTGTCGCTAGGATGGGATCTCTTGGTCTCCTCAGATAGGGCTTCTGCCACCTGACTCATCATGTGACTTAGATCATGTATTCTGGTTGAAGTGGTCTGCATGAACTGAATGAGCGTCTCTTCCAAGTCAGAAAGCCTCTTTAAATTTGCCTCCTCTTGTTGATTAGGTAGCTCATTACTCGGCAAGGATTTAGGAATGACTGGAACATTTGTGCTCATATAGTGTGGGGAGGAAGAAGTGGTGTATGTAGTTGCCTGGTAAGGATGGTCATATGGAGGAATGGGGAAAAGATATAAATGGTGACCTCCTCCACAAAAGGAACAAATGCTATTCTTAGGAAAGTAATCAGTCAATTCTTCAAGAGTTTTAGTTTGAACAAGATATTCAAACATGGAGCTTGGTTTCGCCCTAGGATATTGTGAATAAGCATTAGGTCCACACAAGAATAACCCGAACCCGCATAACCTGCCCGACTCAACCCTATCCGACCCTATTTAATCGGGTATTTCATTTTAAAAAATATTCATGGGTTAAATATGTTTGAACCCGCACCTAATGGGTAGAGTTGCAGAATTAAAATCTCAAACCCGATAGTAGCCGACCCGGCCGAAAGTTCATTTTACTATTATTTTGCTACAATGTTTTCTTGGATAATTTCAATTTAAGACCAATGTGCTCTATCTAGGACTTTATGATATTAGAATTATAACTAAACATTTACCATTTTGACTTGGTGATTATTATATATTTACGTTTCCTTCTAAATGAACTTCCTTTACGGAAGGATGTTTTAATACTATTACCTAATGTTTTTGCTTATAAAAGATACGAGTACTTGTATTTGTTTATGTGTTTTGGAAACAAGTTATTAGAGTTTCAAATTGGCTACATCCATTTCCCACATGAAATATGCATGCAACCCGAAGTGTTTTTTTTTTCAAAACTCGACCCTACCCGACCCATTCATGTATGGTTTACCAACTTATTTTGCGTACCACGGGTTGGTTAATAGCCAACCCGAACAAATTGGGTAGACCCAAAAAATATAGCAAACCCGACCCAACCCGCCCGATGTGCAGCCCTAATAAGCATTATGATGAGATGATTGAGATTGAGAATGTTGCGCATTTGGAGGAGGGTAAGAATAAAAAGATGGAATATTTTGTGGTGCTGCAGAGTAATTTTGATGAGGAGAAAAATACTGATGATGAGTGTAATGAGAATATGGCGTATATGGTGAATATTCCATGGAGGTTTGGGGGTAAGGTGTTCTTCCAGGAATTGAGATGAATGGGTCTACCTCATGCCTCTTTGAAAATTGCCTGAAAGGTTATCACAGAAAAAAAATCATACGAAAAACTAAAAACAGGTTGCTGAGTCTAATTAACCCATAAGACCGACACCGTCCCCGCCAACGGCGCCAAATACTGATGTGAGTTTTCTCGCACTCAAATTGATAGTAGAATAGTAGTGAAAGTACGAGTATCGTCTCCACAGGGACGGTAAAAGGGAATTAAGAATTATCTATATTCAGTGATTAAAAAGAAATAAAATAAATGGAGTCGTGCGAGATGTTGATTGGTTTGGAAAATTAAATTGCAAATTAACGAATGAATAAAGATTAGTTTCTCTCTAATTAACGACGAAGGGAAACAAGGATTGATTCCGGGGTAATCAGATTCTGACCGATCAGACTTAATTACATGAATTTAATTTAATTGAGCCTAGCTAGTCATTACTAAGTTCTTACAGTTCTCGCAGCGTAGAGTACAATTATTTAGGGGACCAGGTTGATCTCTCATGCGACAGGTTCCTAAATTATTGTCAGAACGAGCGAGCTTACGGCTCCTTAATCGCTACTAATCTCTTAGCGAGTGATTAAGTGTGTGTGAAGGTGTCTTAGAATAAACTAGATCTCTCTTAATTTATTCTACAAGCAATTGTAATTATAGCTGCAGTTCTAGGTTACAAAAGATATCAATTAAATTATTCAAACACAAATTAAATAAAAATTCATGCAATCAATCCATCATGAATTTAGCCATACATCATAATTAACCCCTTCATCAATCTCAAATCCCAAATAAAACTACTCACAACTCATAATTGAAGAATCAATAGAATTGGGAAGAATAGAATTAATTGTCATTAATTAAAAACTAGGAACTTACCAATAATTCAAGGGTATTGAAGAACAAGATGGAAAAGTAGAAGAAATTTCGTCCCTAGGTCTCTCTCTAAGCTCCGTCTCAAAACAGTGATTTACAGACTGTTTAAATAAGAAAAAGGGGTAAAATTCGATCTGGAATATGATATCCGGGGTCAGGCACGACGCCAGGCATGACCGTGCCTGCGGAGCAAAAACGCGCGTCCCGGGTAAGGCACGGCGTGTCTACCGGGCAGGCACGACGTGCGTGACTGGCAGTAGCTCCAGCATTGTTTTCTCTACGAATTTGACTATGCTTCCTTCATGAAAGTTGTAGATGATGCAGTCCTCTATCCAACACAACTTGAAAAATTGGATTTGAATCATCCAATCAAAACATATGAGTGAAATGGTGGAGGTCGGATTCTGAAATCTCAACAGGGATTATCTGACTTCATAATCTATTTTCACCTTTTTACTACCAGATTTCTCGTAATGATGTCTTCATATGATTTATAGCCCTTGAAGTTAGCTTTCACATGGAACTTTAATCATGTCATTTGGACGTTTCTACAAAAAGATATGCTTGAATGATTGACAGAAGGTCATCATGGTCGCCGTTTTCAAGCTCTATTTGTCTTCTTTCGATCTCGTAGCCAATCCTAGAGCTCTTTTATCTTCAAATCTTCATCGTGAACCTCCCGGTGACCTCCAAAGCTATCAATCAACTCATCCCAGTTGCTACAAGTGCCGGTGCCGGACTTTAATTTCCTGATTTTGGACTCCAAACAACACAAAACTCGAACCAACGCCCGTTAAACATAACTTGAGCTAAAATTGAGACTTATAACACTTTAAATAATTAGGAAAACCATCAAAAGTCGATCTAAATATGCATCAAATGCGTGTATAAATACGGACTTATCATGTACCGAAGAAGATTGGCTGACGATACATTCTATGCTTGTATCTTGGCTACTTGACACCATCTCGGCGGAGGTCAACGGGACGTTGTCACGTTATGATTATGCGGCATGTTTGTGGAAAGATCTCAAGGAATGTTTTTCTTCCGTTGATGGCCCACGCATCATCAAGTCAAAACTGATTTGGGAAAATGTGTTAAAATGAAAGGAATGACCATAGGAACATACTACCCCAAACTCAAAATTTTGTGGGACGATCTGAATAATTACGAGCCCCTTATTGGGTGTTCGTGCGGGAAATGCAGTTGTGACGTCCTGGAGCAACATGAGAAACGCCAAGAATTGAAGCATTTTCATTATTTTTTTAACCCGGAAGGCAAACCACCAAAATCAGTGGGGCAAATGTCAGGGAACATTTGCCGTTATTTTATTAAAATAATAAAATAAGGAACAAAGTGAGAGGGGGACCGAACCAAAACCTCTCATCAGAGGCATTCCTCTGGAAAATACATGGATGAAATAGAAGCAGATGGAAAG